ATAAGGTTAAATTAGCCTTAAATTACTATAAAAATTTTATAAAAAGCTTTTTTATAGTTATACTTACACTTAAACTTTACTTTAAGCTTTAGGTAACACTTAATAAATATATTAAGCTAGTTTATGCTAACATAGCTTATATTATGCTTAGCGTGTAAAGAATTAGCTATATTAGCTATAGCTGCTAGCTAGGGGGGAAATCCTTACGCATCTAGCTTAAGTATGTGCTAAATAATTACCTACTTCTTATTATTATCTAGCTTTTATAAGTTAGCTATATAATTAGCTTAGAAAAGTTATTTAGCACATTAGTTGCTTATTATCTTTTAAAGGACTCTGTAGATAGCTGTAGTGTGTTAGTTAGAAAGTATTATGTCTTATTTAAAAGCTTAAAGCATAAGCTGCATTTAACATTCTTTTAACACATTTAAGTAGTGTTATTAAAAATGCATTAGTGTAGGAAAGGTAGTGTAGTAGGGTCTTAGCAAAAGTAAGCAACTTAGGTGTGTGAGCAACTCGCCTATAAAGTACGTTACCTACTTTTTTTTATTACTTAGCTTTTATAATTTAGCTATAAAATTAGCTTATAAAGGTTATCTAGTGCTATAGTTATTTATTATTTTTTATAAGACTTTATATATAGCTATAGCATATTTTTTTAAAAGTTTTATATTTTATTTAAAAGCTTAGAGTGTAAGCTATATCTAACATTCTTTTAGCATATCTAAGTAGTGTTATAGGGAATGCATTAGTGTAAAAAAAGTAGTTTAGTAGAGTCTTAGCAAAAGTAAGCAACTTAGGTGTGTAAGTAACTCGCCTGTAAAGTATGTTAGCATATTATAAGAAAAGTTTTAAGTTTTATTTAAAAGCTTAAAAAGTAAGCTATATCTAACATTCTTTAGAAAATTTAATCTAGTATTATTATTAAAGCATTATGTAGATAAGTAGAGTGTAGTAAAAGCTTAGCAAAAGTGGCTAGCTAACCTGTGTAGCTAGCTAACCTGTTAGGTATGTTATAATTAATGCTTATAAAAGTAAAAATTTAAAGGCATATAAATAGCTTACTAACATCTATAGTAAAGGCTTTTAATAAGGTCTTAAAAAGGGCAGTAATTATTACACATAAGCTAGTATTAGCATAAAAAAAGATTATAAAGCTTTAAGCAGTAAATAAGGCTGCTCTGTAATGTAAATTATATAAAAGAAAGTAAATTTAAGTAAAAAAGACTTTAATAGTTAAAAATAAGGCTTATTTAACTACTTTAAAAGAGTTTAAAGCGCGTAGTAATAAAAAGAAGCTAAAAATATAAGTATGCGCTAAAAAAAGTAAGCTAAGTTAAAAGTAATATAAGTAGTGTAATTAGACTAGGCATAACTTACATATGTGTAAGTAAGTAGTAGAAGTAGACTTTAAATAATATCTTATGTTGTATTACTTTATACAGGGCTAAAGTAGGCTATTTTGCGCTAGAATAGGGTAGTTTTAGTAAGGGCTTGGCAAAAGTGGCCGGCCAACCCGTGTGGCCGGCCAACCTGTTAGGTACGTTACTATAAAGCTTAAAACATGTTTTTTATAAGTACAACTATAAAACAGCCTAATATAAGAATTTTATAGTTATATAAAAGTAGTTTATATTTATATATAACACTATTACTAAAGCGAGAATGCCAAGACATTTTACTGACCACCTGCCCCGACAGCTGCAATTTCCCGGCTATAAGGAGCGTCTCCTCCAAGTAGTGGAAGCATCTAAATAACGAAATTGTTAGCAATTTTAGGAAATGCCCTAGATACACGTTAACAAGGTCCCGCTAGTTGGTATAATTATTGCCCTGCAATCCTTAATCTTAATTCTCATCACGCACCTATTTTCCGCCGACACAGCCATCCAAAGCGCTACTGTGTCATACCTCCCCCTCCTGCGCGATTGGGCAGAGAAGTTGTGGTCCTCAGCTGGGAGCTGCATACAAGTGGGACTTAGTCCCTGTCAGGCATGGTTGCTTGGTGAGACGACGTGACGCACAATGATCCCCCCCTACGTGCTTAATTGTGCATTCAGCGATTGGAAATACGGGTACTGCGTCCTCTAGTTGGTATCTGTCTACGAATTTGGGCACACCTCTCTGCAGTCTTTGACTCCAGACAATGACACCTTTATGATGTTGGCGTTGATTGCACACAACGGTAGGAGGGGGAGTCATCTAGATGTAGTACTGGAAAGATTGTTAGCGAGATGTTTTCACTGAGGGGACTTTTAGGCAGACGTATTTGTTCCCCGAAGGTTCTCTCTGCACGTCTCCGTGATTGAAGAATATACTATGCTCCCTCATATTCAATATCTGTTCTCACTCTGCTCTCACCCACCATGCACTCACTGATTTCCATCCCGGTCATCTACTGGACCCGTTGAGCTTAATCTTTTGGAATGGAGATCATGAAGCAACATCGGTTAGCCTTAATCGACGGTAACGTATGATGTAAGAGAACTAAGAACTAAGCCTGAGAGTGTTGTGAGAGTTTCCAGAAGTCAAAGAGAAAGAACAAACTTCAAGGAAGGGAGACATGGGCGAACCGGTACAGCCCGGTAGCATATTCGAATGAGGCGCTATTGGTACAGTAGAATACAGTGCCTATCTAAAGTAAAAGAGAAGACAAATGTCGTTTAGGTATGTGGCGCTTTGGGCTGTTTTCCATTTTACAATCACATCACCGCTATTCTGTGATCCATACACGAATTTCAAAGCCGTGAATTAGAAGTCGTTATAGGCATATTGGTAATTATGAGTCGTGAAGGTTAGTCGTGGAATGTGTGAACCAGAACCTAGAAAAGGGAGGGAATGAAAGCCGTGTTAAAAGCCGACGAGACCGAGCATTGTGTTGTCGTCCGAAATCGCAGAATCATTCTGAAGTCGACAATCCGAAGGCGAAACGGAAAGAGAATCGGCTGTAACATTAACCCATAACCGTGTGCCATCCTTTCTCAACCATGACATCGATCCAGAAAGCTTCCTGTCCATTATCCAGTCTAAACCAGACCTCTTTAACTAGCTCAATCATCTTGCGAAGCGGTTTAGCTGGCAGCCTTAAAGCATATTCTTCAAGTCTACGATTCGCAAACTCTCGTGCATCCATGACCTTCGCATCGTTGGCGTAAATGTCAAAGTAGTCAACTGATGACACAAATTTGAGCTCAGATGCAGCGGCGACAAGCAGGATTGGCTGTAGGCAGCAGGTACCGGAGGAAGAAGGAAGGCTTTCGAGAGTGCCAAGGATATGTAGAGCCAGAGAATTGATCCAGAGTTTGGTGTCAGTGTCCTCGTACGCGGTTTCAAACCTCGGAGTTGGGAACTCGAACTCGACGTTGGCAGTCCATGTAAACTTGTCTGTTCCCAGGCGCTTTCGAAGGAGAGAGGGGAAGACCTGATACAACTCCAAGAGACCGGCGCAGCGGTACGCCTCTGCCATAACTACGAAGTCGTGCCTGGAAGTCCTTTCATCACCTGGATCGGCGAGCTCTTCCGCTAAAGGCCATTCTGCATCGAGCAGATCCTCTTCCAGTGAAGCTGCGTCTAAAAGATTCTCTTGCATCCGTCGTACGTCCACAGTTCCGCTCATTTGCAGCAGCCTCTCCCTACGGACCAATCTGCCTACTTCTGCAAACATCATTTGTACTGTCGGCGCAATTCCGGTCCAAGGGTGCGGCACAATCTTTCCGTCAGGCCTCCTAGCTGCGGGCGTAGCTTTTCTGGGACCTCTCCTCATTGAAGATCCTGATGAAAAGGTCATAGTGTCTTGACTGACGAATCCCATGAGCATCTCCCAATAAATTAAAGACTCTTCGAAGAATTGATTGTCGCGTTGGATGCCCTCGTCTTCGGAACTACTGATAAGCTTCGGTAGAATCAGACTCCTAGCGGTAGTGAGAAATTCCTCGCCTATGTTGCTACTCTCATGCCAGCAGGTGGTGAGACCAAGAAGTATGATGCTGAGAAAAGTCTTTCCAACTCTGACTTGGCCGCTTTGCACTAGGGGTAGCTCTTCTTGAAGGCACTGACGAGCTTTGTGTTGCATCTCTATGCCTACGCCAGTCATGTTAGGGAAGGTGTTGGCCAAATGCGCTGCTGACATTGATTGGATGGCGTAGTACATTGATGGAGAGTCCTGGAATAGACGGCCGATGGTTGTTCTGAACGGATTAAGCGGGGAATCAAATGAAGAAAATAAGACGCAAACATCTTTGAAGTAATGCTGAACTAATATAGACTCAATGTCATCTGGCGACGAAGACGCGGGCGACGGACTGGGGAGCCGATAGTAGTCAAGGAGTAACGATCGCGATAGCCGAGATTTAAACGGTTCCATGATCGTGTCTTCTGGGGGTAGTCCCGGCTCTTCGATATTCAATTCGAGTTCATTGAGAAGAGTATCTGGCTCAAGAAAATCTAGCGTGTCTAGAGAAATGAGAGGGAAGTCTTGGTCCACTGACTGAGCATGTTCAAGCATCCCCTCCAAGAATATCGGGTCAATAACATCCAAGTCCTCCATATGGAATGGTGAATGTTCTTGAATATATTCATCTTGTCCAATAGACTCTAGCGGACTTGAAGTGGGGTCTTGGTGGATAATATCTGGCGACGACGTCTCGGAAGAGTCTTTCTGTTCCGATAGTGGTTTCTTCTTTCCGATGGGAAGTACAGCAGCTAAGGCTTCGAAGCCGCTTACAACATCTGCTGGTAGTGCGATGTCTTTCACAGGAGGGGGAGTAGATGCCTCACTGATGGCTAAAGGCGGTTCAGATTGCAATGACTGGAATATCTCATACTTGGTCGACCATTTCAACGTCTTTTCATATCCAGGGCAAGGCACATTCCTCTTCTTACACTGCAAACAAGCAGGTGCTGTCTCGTCGCATTTCAACTATTGCCACCATTAGCGGGGTTTGCAACTCCCAAAGTGGGATAGTAGCTATACGTACTCGTTTGAGCTTGCACCTCCCACAGCCATTCCTACTCTTCGTCTTTTTCTTCTGACCATTACCAACACTCTTCTCTAGAGCCAATGATGCCATAGCCGTTAGTGAGCAAAAGAGTAATGTAGGGGGAGTGGGGAGGCGATACCAATCCCGATTAAGGGAGGTTGAAGAGGAGGAGTTCGCTGCATTCTAAATGCACCTGACAAGTCATGGGAGAGCCGATAGGAGCCGTTGGGGTCTATCGGGGCCATTATCGTGACTGATAGCGACGTGGAGGAGGGTGTGAGGTAAGTGTGAACCTAGATCCGAGTCTCGGAGCTGTTCACGCGTCGACTTTCCTTGTTGGCAACCTGCATCCCTGATTGGTCGGACTGTCATGAGAGCTCCAAATACTTTCAGACTCCCTTCACGAAGAGGGCAATCTCGTCAACTTGTCTGGAGGTTCAACCATGCCCTCTACACCTTATGTTCATTTATTTAAGTTCGAGATATGTAAATGAGGACTTGAAGTCCGCTTTATGTTGAAGCAGGAACATTTTGATCGCGAGCCCCACTACTTTCACATGGATTCTATAACCCGATATGGAAAGGTGCGAATGGCTATCAAGATGCACATCCATATCGCTGCGATATCATGATTAACGTCCTTGCATATGAACCGGCTAAGACTCGGATTGCTCGGACTTATGCACTTCTTACAACGGATTTTGCTTTTTCATATCATTTCTGGCAGCAAGATGGATCTAGAGTCAATATTTCATTTTGATCGAACGATTCAGGCTGGAGAATATCCTCTCTTTGGTGAGTGAAATTCTTAGATGCACATCAAACACCTATTTACTTTGATGTGTTATCTTTGATCCCATGGCTTCTCTGGAAGTTTGACTTATTGTCTGGGCTCCTGTTGCCTCTAGGTCGTACTCGGAAGCATTCTAAAGTTTATTTACTGAAAATGGTTCATGACGTGAATTTCATCCATCGCGATTGTTGTACGGGATCTGATGAGGACCACTCGTTAACTTCTCAAACTCGGGTAAGTGCATGGTATGGGTGAAGGGGCTGTCAAGCAGGCAGAAAGACGGAATCGGCTGCCGCATGAAGTATGTATTGGAGGGTCAACGGCGAATATTACAGACCTTGAATCAAAGCATCTAACAAGCTCGACCTTTATCTCCTGCTACACTCAAATCTTCGAAATCTTCCCTTTCCTCTTACCCTCTAACTCTTCCCTCTTCTCCGCAAACCGCTTCGTCGGCGCATCCTCAACAAACCTCTCAGCCAACGCATCAACCGCATTAACAACCGCTACCAACCTTGCGTCTCTAATCGGTGCGTTCTGTAGCCTCTTCATCTCAATCATGCTCTTTCCATCATTAACATCCAACTGTCCCTCCAAAAACCTCATCACCTCTTTCTGAAATTCGTCACCGGCGCTTTGGAACACTCGGTTGTAGAGACCCCAATCTTCACACTCCTGGGCGGATAGCTTGCGTCCGAACATGAGAAAGTCGTTGGTGCGGTGGATGCCAATTTGTTGGGCGAAGGAGATGGCGGACCCGTTTTCGGGAACGAGGCCGAGTGCGCTGAAGGGGCATTGGAGCCAGGCGGTGTTGGAAGCGAGGATGATATCTGCAATGCCGGGGAACCAGCATGCACCGCCACCGACAGCGGGGCCGTTGAGTCCGAGGACGAAGACTTTCTTGTGGTCGATCATTGAGCGGAGGAGTTCGGTCGCTGTAGAGCTATTAAATTGGAGAAGATTTTGAAGTAGAAAAGGCGGAAGGCTGCGATGGGATAGGGTCAGAAGATGGTAAGAGTATGAAAGCATGGTGACATGTCATTCTTACAAGTAGTTAGAACCATTACAAGTAGTCAAAAGCATAAAAGAAATACCTAGACTCACCATAAGCAAACTTTTGTAGAAAGGCCAATTTCTTCTCCGCTGCATTCTTATATGTGACAGGCTTTTGATTTGCTTCAGCAGTCGCTTCACTCGTTAGTCTAATATCCCAAAGCACCCCTCCTACTCTCCTTTACCTTTGACATCAGCTCCAGCGGAGAAGAACCTTCCCTCGCCAGTTAGAACTGTAAATACTGTGTCGGGATGGTCGTTGAGGACTCGGAATGCTGCGATCGTGTCCGGAATTATATTTCCACCGAAAGAGTTGAGAGCGTTGGGGCGATTGAACTGTTCTTGTGTAAGAGATATTTCTAAGGAACAGTAGGGGTGTTTTCTGTGCCTTGATGATTCCAATCTTCCCTTGGATCTCGAATTTTATGTCTGAATATTCGGAAGCCATTGCTGCTTCTTACAGGCTCACAATGCTGACTGACCTTTGTGGATTGATGCGAATTAAGTTGTTGACGAAGGATGATAAAGTTCAAAAAGTAGCGATGATAGAATGAATTCCCAACCGGAACCAGATAATCCTTACAGCTTATACGTAACCCGCACCTGGTCTACAAGGAACCGAGCTTGGGGGTGAAGAGTAAGCTCAGCCCCGCAAATGAGCTGGGCGCCTCGGCTCAGCGAAATGCTGGTGAAAGATGGAGAAAGTCTGAGCGAGTCAGCAGAGCTTTAGGGGATGATTGAACTAATGATTCAGTATCGGGGTTAATCAATTGTTGAGAAGAATGGGGATGTTAGGAAGGTTGAGATGCTCCCTTGTAGATTCAGTTCGAGGTAGCTCGCGCAAGCTGACGCAAGTTGGACCTCGGCAACTTCTGAGTGATGCGTGATCACGTGGCAGAGATATCACAGGGGGAAGTATTGAACTCATATTTCTTACATGATGTTGAACCCTCTAATGGGATTCCTTGAACATAGCAAGGCGGATTATACTTAGACATCAACTCACCCAGGACTTCAATGAACGCGATGACATAGTGAACGTGGAGAATGCCTTCTATTTATGCAGTTCCTTCTAAAGAGCTCTATGAGGGGAATCGTCCAAACCCGTAGAGAGTACTCCATACCATACATCCAGGATAAGCTTAAATCCTCATCCCTCAAACACCCCATGGTTCAGCTCCACCCCAAAGTCTTTCGCCATCACTCTCATCCTTTCTTCAATTTCCTCCTCCATGCCTCGACCAACCCCCAATACCTGCTTCAACCTCGACCACAGGAATACTACGTCACTTAGCACCAACACTGCTTTGAATCTCAGATGTTTAACCCAATTCCTCCACCGCTCTCCCCAGCCCAGATCTCTGCTCTCTGCCAACGCCCTTGAGGCCCAGAGGCCGGTGATCTTGATGCGGTTCACCGGTGAGCCTAGGAATTGGTTGTTCCCCTGTACTATGCGGAGATTCCGACCTATGAAGATGAGTTCGCGAGGCCATTTCGTTTCATCGCCTAGGATCTGCTTGACACCATCGCGTGCCTTGACTTGCATTTCAAAGGCGCGTTCTTGTTGGTCTTTACCCTGTCTGTCTTTCCGAAGCTCGTTCAGGGTAGAATTGTCTCCTCCCTGGTAAGGCCGCATGAGCGTCGCGGAAGCGAAGATGTCGGGGCTGTTGACCCCCCAGCTCCTGACTATATCACTGATGGTGTCATTGTCAAAAGCTAGTAGCGACTTCCAGAACAACGCGTATTGGTGTCTGAACTGGGGATTCATGTGGATGTACAGTCCGTGGTCGATGAGAACGACTTCGGGCTGTCCAGAGGGAAGGCGTCGGATGAAGATATTACCAGGATGGGGGTCGCAATGGACTATACCCCAGAGGAACATCTGTGCAGAAAAGAGGTCGACCATAGTTTGCATGACAGACTTGAGAGACAGACCAAGGCCGCCTTCCCCATTCGCACCGCGCCAGGAAGACCTATCGGGTTTAAAGAGCTCGTTTCTGGGCGCGTCCTCTGGGACATTAGAATCGAACTTGATGTTGTTTTTTGCAACAGGCGGAAGCGCAGTACCACCTGCTCCAGGACTGCCCTTCCACCCACCCTGCCATGAATTCGTGATGCCCGCCTTATCCCACAGTCGTACGCCCTCGATCCACTCGGCCGTCATAACCCTCTTAGACGACAGCTCTCGGTAGATCTTGGGTATGTACACCCTCCCATTGAGTCTCTTCTCCCCAGCGACCAGCCTCCTCATCTCCTCAGCATTATCCGCTTCATTCTCAAAATCGGTTTCCAGCATCAACCGCTCTGAGATATATGGCACGAGGCTATACATAGGGATATCAAACCACCAGGTATACGCCCTCGCCATAACTTTGAAAGCCCACAGGTCCCAGCCAACCTGCCTTGCGATCTCCCTTTTCTGGATCTTAACTGCGACTTCCCGGCCATCGACCAGCCGCGCCCAATGTACCTGCGCAACACTAGCCGATGCACGTGCCGTCTTCTCCATGACACCCTTTCCTTCTTCGCCCGAGAAACTAACTCCGAAGACCTCTTCGACACTCCTGCCAAAGTCCTCGCGCACGACCTTTTGGACTTCTTGCCATTCGTTCTGCGGCGCATCGTCGAACATCTTGGCAAACATCTTCTGGAACTCAGGGGGAAGTATGGCGCTCTGCATGGCTATTGCCTGTCCAATCTTCAAGTATAGACCGCCATTGTGCCGCAAGAGATCGAAGACGCGCTCTGCATTCCGTGCATGCAGTGCCTCTATACTTGTTGCAAGTGGAGGGTGTGCGCGGAAGTTAATCTTGTAGTCTACGCCAACCAGCAGGCCCGTCCTAAAAGTCCGGAAGCTGCGTGTAAGGGAGGCAGCGTTTAGTTGGGTGTCGAGAACGTATCCCACTCCCAGGATAGCGGAGACTACGAAAAGCCGTCGCACCCATTTCCTGCGGCGGAACGGGGGCTTCGGACGTCTTGGAGGCTTCGGCTTCGGCAAATCGGCTGGATTTGGAGGACGAAGAGGCTCGAATTGAGAGGAGTGGATGTGGCGGACGAGTGAGGGTCGGAGGGCGGAGGTCAGGAGTCGGGAAGCATTTCGAACAGACGCTCTATGGAGGAGAGGCAAGCCATGAATCATGGCTGCTGTAGGTGGGAGGAGAGGAGCGAGAAATGTGCGAGTGTGGCATGGGTCCTTTTAACTATTTCGTTTTATCATCTGGTATCCTGGTCGGGAGCGGACCAAAATCGATGACGCCGATTACGACCGAGAAAACTTAAAGCCCCGGTGCACGGTCGCGGGCTCGGCGTTCGTCTTGCATCCGACGCCGCCTTGCCGAACTCGAACAAATGGAGGAATATTTCTCCTAGCAACCCCCCAAAGTATGATCAAATTATCCCTGAGCATGCGGCTGCTAGAGGTATGGTGGAAAGAAGGGAAAGCTTGATATATAGTTAAATACAGAGACATGCAGGATTCGAGAATGTCATGCTCAAGATGCGTCGACTGATCATTTCCACACTCTTTGTTATATTCTCGACTAAAACTGACGCTGCTACTATCACACCAACTGTAAAGACATTGAGCGGCACATATGTAGGAAAGTATGTCAACGGCTAGGATCAAGATGTCTTTCTCGGCATTCCATACGCCCAACCCCCGCTTCCGATGGCCTCCATCAATAAACACTTCCTTCGCTGAGACGAGGGATGCATCGAGATATGGCTATAGCTATTACCAGTACAGCAGTAACTTCAATTTTCAGAGAACTGTTTGACTCTTAATGGTACTGCGCCTTTCCATTAGAACGAATTTGTCCTAATTGCCGCAGTGATACGTCCAACTGGATTCACAAACAAGAAACTGCCAGTACTGGTATGGATCTACGGCGGTGGGTTGTACGCTGGATCGACTGCAGGCCCGCAATACAATCTGTCTGGAATCATACGTATCTCTCAAGACACGAACACGCCTATAATTGCAGTGAGCATGAACTATCGCCTCGGAAAGGCGCAACCTCGTCTTCCTCTCATCTTTGCTGATGACATCCAGGAATGTGAGGATTCCTACAATCACCCCAGATCCTCGCCGAGGGGAGCAGCAATACAGGATTGCTAGATCAACGGCTAGCATTGCGTTGGATTCAAGAGAACATCGAAGCCTTCGGTGGAGATCCTAGCCGTGTCACTATCTGGGGCGAAAGTGCTGGAGCGCAAAGCATTGAGTTGCACCTAAATTCCTATGGCGTACGGGATGACGGCTTATCCCACGCTACAATCATGGAGAGTGGTGATCCGGTTGGAGCATTTCTAGCCCCGCTGGCTTATTACTCTGCACCTCTGGCGAATTTAACTCGAGCAACGGGTTCTGGACTGCATCAGACAAATTAGCATGTCTATGATCGCTGTCCTCCGAGCAGTTCTTCGCTGCGCAAACACGTCAGGTCTGGAATCCAATCGTGAACGGTGATCTTCTCCAGTCATATCTTTCCACAACCATGGATGAAGGAGACTTTGTGAAGGTTCCGCTACTCATTGGGGCCAATCCCGACGAAGGAGTTTCATTTAGCGTCCACGGTCTTGATAATACTACGGCCATGTCTAATTCCCTAACGTATTGACGCTCGTATGCCCTGTCACCGCCCAGCATCCAAAAACCACTAGATCTATATCCGAAAGATGATTTCGCAAACGAGTCCACATATGGTAGGATGGGGAACGAGACATATCCAAAATACGGACTGTAGTGGAGGAGAGATGCAGCCATTGGAGGAGACTTGATGATGATAGCGCAGCGGAGGAAGATGTGTGAGTTTTATACTCAGGCAGCGAAAGACGTATACAGCTACCGTTTCGACACACCATTGTGGAATCAGACTGCCCCGACATCAGTTCTCCATTTCGTGAATTTCGTCTTTTCCTTCCGGAACGTTAGCGGAGCACTGGGCCCATCACCTCGGTATGAGAGTTACAAGGATCTCAGTACAGATATTGGGAGGGCGTATGTTAACTTCGTCGAGACTGAAGATCCAAACGGGATCGGAAACTCTAAAAGGGTTGGCTTGCCAGCGTGGCCAAAGTATGCGCTTGCTGCGCCGAAGAACATGGTGCTGAACAGCAACGGTAGCTATGTTGAGGACGACACCTGGAGAAATGAGGGCATCGCCTTCATCAACTCCCTCGCCCGGGAGTTGTTGGCATAGTCGTACGTAACGGTAGGCAAAACCTGGTACACAAGCTCTTCAACGTCTTTCATGACCGTAGATCTGCTGCGTCATGCTCTTGCTCCTCAAGGGTGTCCAGGTCAGCTCCCCATTTCCCCGAAATCTCCTTCACCTTATCTAGCCACCTCTTAACAACGGGATGCTGATCAACAACCTCCCTAAGGCTGACCTCGTCTTCCTTCCCTTGAACCTCCCATTTCCAAATGCCTTCCTCGTCAACCCACTTCTTCCCCAGCAACTCTTGAATCGCTAGCTCCATCTGCGCTCCTTCCCAGACGCTCCTCGCCTCTTGCCAACAAACCTCATCGTGCCCTCTGAGCGCAGTAACAAAGCCTTGTAGCACTCCTAGTATATATCCCACTCGTTGCCCGAGATGTGCGCCCAGCGAGAATCCCTCGTCGAAACCCTCTTGCACGTACTGACCTTTGCTATTCGAAAGTCCTTCGCGGTATGCGTCGGTATCGAGGACACGTTGGCGGGAGGGCAAATCAGAAAGAATTTCATAAGTGTGACTACCAGTACCGCTATCATTCAGAGGGTAATGGGAGGACAGTATTGGTGAGGAGGGAGCAGAGCCGTAGATATCGTCTAATGGGTCATTGTACGGCAAGAATGGCGGCGACGGAGGCGCATGTACGGAAGAGAAATTGGTTGTCCCGAAGGTGGGAGAGGTATCGCGGAACATGGTGGGCGTGCAGGTGAAGTTGGATCGGTAGGGCGGTGTTGTATCTCAGCTAGCTCAGCCGGGGTGATGATAGGACGCACAAACCACCATGCATAGTGCTACTCTAAACAGAGTATAGCCTAGGGGGCTAGCGGTTTCCGACCCCTGTAGCTAGCGTTTCTCTCATCAGCTGTCTGAGGGACATTTGTGATTTTCTCTAGGAATAGGCCTATTTCAAGAGCATTATAATAGAATTAGATTTACAATATCTCTACTACTATACGTCTAAATAGGCTTAGAATTTAATACAATGTAGAAATAAGGTGTAGCTATAAAATAAAATTTTTTTTTTTTTACTAAATTCTAACTATTATTAACGTACACTACAAGCAAGTTGCTTACACACTAGAGTTGCTTACTTTTGCTAAGACTCTACTAAACTACTTTTTTTACACTAATGCATTTCTAGTAACACTACTTAAACATATTAAAAGAATATTAGATACTACTTATACTTTAGGCTTTTAAATAAAACATAACGTACTTTACAGGCAAGTTGCTTACACACCTAAGTTACTTACTTTTGCTAAGACCCTACTGTTGCGTTTGCTAAAAGGTCAACCTCCTAGCTAGCACAGCAGAAGGATATATATATAGACGGATAGCTGTACGCGACACATTCCCTAGCTTAAACTGTGGAATAAGAGAGGTAAAACATAGTAAAACAACCTTAACACACTCTTCTAGCCTAAGCAGAAGAACTTAGAGACAGATCTAGTAAGGTAGCCTCTATAATAGACACACTGTCTAAATGCTTTTTGCTAAGTGTAGAAATTAAACACACAGTGTTTAGAAATAATGCAATCCTACTAGTAGAGTAGGGAGAGCAGAGATGTAAAAATTTTTGTGCGCTAACTATCTACACTACGCTGCAAACTAGGCTTATAACTGTTGCGTTTGCTAAAAGGTTAACCTCCTAGCTAGCACAGCAGAAGGATATATATATAGACAGATAGCTGTACGCGACACCTACTAAACTACTTTTCCTACACTAATGCATTCTGTCACAGTATCCTCCCCGGATCCCAGACATAACTGTATTAGACGTGTACTAGAGTATTATTAGTGCACGTCTAACACAAACACAACATAACACAGACATAAACTTAAGCATAAACTGCCTTAACACTAACTAAACCTAAAATAGGCTTAATTTATACCTAAAGTACTTAGACTTTTAAGCTAAGTATTTAATTACTAATTTTCTTTTAAACCTTTTTATTTCTTATATAACATCTTGTACTTACTATAATACCTTATGTAGTAATTAAACTAGACCTCTATAAAGCTTTATAACCTTACTTATGTATAATTATAACATTATGTTATGTTAAAACTTTAGCTAAGAATAGCCTCTAAATTTAATTTAATAAGCTTAGTACTTACATAACTTTAAGCTATTAAAGTAAGCTAAAAAGCTTTCTAAAAAGCGCTTACTTTATAAAAAAGCTGCTACATTATAAGCTTTAAAGCTTTTTAAAAGAACTTTAAAGAACAGCTTTATATTATTAAGTAGTCTGTTTCTGCCTTAACTTTTATTATAGTAGTAAAAACTAAGAACTTACTAGCCTTAAAGCCTACTTAGAAGTCTAGAGATAGCTTAACTTTTTTCTACTTAACACTACCTATAACTTATAACTTTTCTAACTTAGTAATAAAATCTAACTAACTTCTTAATCCTCTACTATTTAATAAAAAATAGAAAGACTTACCTTTCTTTTTACATAAGCTTTAATATAAACTTAAAGAAAATATAGACTAATTTTTTTTTAAACACTTCTAGTTACTATATGCCTACTTTTAACTTAACTATAATATAATAGCTTTAATTAACTTACTAATAAATAAAAATATTATTAACTTAGATTAATTTATAGTATTTTTATAAGTAACTTATAAAGACCTAAATAAAAAGTTAATAGCCCTAAGTTACCTAAACACTTTATAATAAAAAAAAAAAGCTTTACTTTACACTTTACTAAGTTCTACTAACTTGCATCTAATATAGGCCTAAATAAGATAGGTCTAATTATAGCTTTATATAACTCCCTCTTAACTAAACTATAACACGCTATAGTAAAAGAACCCCTTCTAAATAACCTTAATATATATGTAAACCTAATTACTACCTACAATAATAACATAAGGTTCCTCCCTATATAAGCTTTAATACACCCCTAAACTAGCGCAGTTGTAAATAAGAACTTTAATATAATAAAAATTAATTTAAATTATGCTTTAGTTAGTTTTAAAAAGTGTAAAAATTATAAAAAAAAAAGTTAATACTTTAAGTATAGTAAGTATAGTTATATTTTTTAAAACTACTTTATTCTTCTTTTTTAAGTCTGCGCAAGTAGCGCTGCTAGTACTTATTAAAAATTTTTACTATTTTAATTTTATTTTTATAAAAGCTTTAACTTGTATTTAAGCTTTAATCTTTTTTACTACTCTTAACATAGCTGCAGCTATAGCAGTAAAAGCCTGCAAAAAGGCTTGTCTTAGAGCTAAGTTGCCTCTTAAGACTAATTTAACACTAGATCTCTACTAACCTATAGGCTAAGTCCCCTACTAATAACTAAAAGTACTAAGTTAATATTTCTATATGTTTATAATAAAAAACTATATTAGCTTTAATATAAGCTTTTATTAACTTAGAAGTAAATAGCATAAGTTATATTAATAAAAAACTAGCATATAAACTAAATCTTTAATTAACACTACTTACCTAAATAATTTACTTAACTAAATTTAATAGAAAATAACTTAAAAAAAGTTTTATTTTTTATACTATAACTATTATAATTACTTACTAACACTATAAGAAGCAGATTAAGCTCTATATAATAAACACAGAATGTTATAACCTAATTCTAGAATAACTATAGCTATATTAGCATAAAGTTACCTTTAATTACTAAAAGTAAGTTCTAAACTTTAACTCTTTTTAATGCTAAGATATATGCTTATGCTTACACCTAAACAACACTTAAATAGCACTTAATATAAAAGGTTTCTAGACTTACTCCTTAATAACTTAAAAAAGAACTACTTAAGTAAGGCTAATAAGCTAGGCCTTTTACTAAGATAAGCTATATAAAATAATTTAATAACTACTTAAACTTAAAGAAAAAAAAGCTTTTAAAGAACTTTTACTTACTTAATTTAGACATAAACTAGAACTTAAACAGTAGATAGACATCTGCTACATAGAACCTACCCTGTTTATAACCCTAGCTTAATAACTAGATTATAAAATCTATGCAGTTATAATTTCTAATATAGACTAAGCTTTAGCTTTCTAAAAATATACTAACTTAAAAATAATAGTCTCTTAAAACTACTATAACTTATTACATGTCTTTTTTTAAAATAAGTTTAATAAGCTTTTAATATAACATCTATATAATTACTAAATAACTTTTAAGCCTAGTAAACAATCTAGTTATAGGCTACTATATAAGATGTTACTAAATAAATTAAAAGTGCTCTAAAAATACTTTAATAAAAACTTAAAAAAAAGTTTTATTTAAGCTAGCTTTTTACTAGTAGTGTTACTTATACTATTTATAAAAAAACCTAGAAGTAGGCTTTAATTCTATGTTAACTACTAAGGACTAAATACTATTACTATTAAAAACTAATACTTAATTCTTTTTTTATAAAAAACCTTAAGCTAACTAAGTAAAGTAAAGTATTTTATAAAGTTAGATATTATTACTACTTTTAATAAGCTAAAAATAGTAAAAGGTAATAAGTAGCTAATAGCATTTTAGACCTAATATAGACTATTTAAGTACTTAGTAATGCTCTTTAGCTTAGCTAACACACCTAGTACTTTTTAACATTTTATAAATAACTTACTTTAACCCTACCTAAACATGTTTTGTACTATGTATATTAATAATATTCTAATCTACAGTAATAGCCTTTTAGAGCATAAATAGCATGTACGCCTAGTGCTAAAAGCTATAGAAGAAGCAGGTCTATAACTTAACATAGATAAATGTAAGTTCTACTAATTAAAGGTTACATATTTAGAATATGTAATCTCTATAAATAGCATCTAAATAGACCTTATTAAGGTTTAGACTGTGCTAGATTAGCAATACCTAAAGAATATAAAAGATGTTTAAGCCTTTATAAAATTTACTAACTTTTACTAATAATTTATTAATAACTTTTTACAGCTAGTAAGCTTTATAATTACACTTACTAAAAAAAAAGTTTAATTTAACTTTAACTTAAATTACTAATAGTTTTTTAACTAGCTAAAAAAAGCTTTTACTAAAGCTTTAATACTCTACTACTTTAACTTTAAACTACTAATACTTATAGAAGCTAATGCTTTAGACTATATAGTAGTAGAAGTTCTTTTCTAGACTAAGCTAGATAGAACTATTAGGCCTATTACATACTTCTTAAAAAGAATAAGTCCTGTAGAAGGTAATTATAAGATCTATAATAAGAAATTACTTACTATAGTACACTGCTTTAAATAATAGCAACCTAAACTAAAAAGTGCAGCGCATCTAATATAGGTCCTATCTAACTATAAGAACTTATAGTACTTTATAACTATAAAATAACTTAGCTACTAATAAGCCTGTTAGTCTAAATACTTATCTTATTTTAATTTTAAGATTACTTATTATCTTAGTTAAGATAAAGAGAAACTAAATGCTTTTATAAGGTAATCTTAAGACGTCCTTACTTAAAAAAAAGCATAAAAGGCTTAACACTAAACTCTACTTTAACCTAAGCTATTTTTAGACCTTAACTTAAATAAAATAAATTAAATAATTAATTAAATTATTACTAATAAGTATCTAAATAATAAATTTATCTAAGAAACTTTAGACCTGCTCTAAAATAGCACTAGTTAGTTAAAAAAAGTAACACTAGCTAACTATAAAAACTAAAATAGTAAGCTATATTACTATAACTAACTTATAATCTTTAATTTTAATAAACTAAGAATTAAACTACTCTAAATTGTACATAACTTGCCTGTTAGAGAACACCTAGGCAGAGAAAAGACTCTTAACCTACTA